TGCATGTTGTCAGCAGCTTTCAGATTTCCACACTTGGGTAGTAGCTCGACCATGGTGCAGGAGAAGGATGTGGTGGGCAGCCCTCACAAGACACTGAATTAAGATTACTTGAGTAATGAACTCACATTTGGTCATCACTGGTCTAAGCCATTGTGGGTCAGCTTTGAAATTTATTGCTTTCCTTTCAAACCACTGGCACATGTCCCAGAGGACCATAACAAGGAGCCTAGCAGATCAGGTTGTTTCCATCTTTTGGGTGAGATCTCAATAACAGCTCATAACTGCCTTATGAAGTAACTAAAAAAACCTCCTTCATTCATCATCTTAGATGGGTACACTCTGTCTGAGGTGTTGTATGACAATTCCGCCCATTACTTGACATGGTGAGGTTTGATTCTTTTAAGCAGTGATTCTTTTATGCCTCCTTGGGAGTAGGCACATCCTACTTGGAAAGGACTCACTACCTGTCTTTGTTGGTTACGACATACTGTGCACTGGGCACTTAAGGGCTTTTCACCGTGCAATTCTTCTCACCATCCTTTAGGCTTCTGTAACATAGTCCACGTATGAGCTAAGCACTCCACAGTCCCTTTTTAGACAGGGGAAAGAAATGGGCCCTTGCAGCAGAACTTGTTTTGCCAGAGCTTTTCCAGCCTGCCCTTGAAGTACCCATGATTTGCCACTAAGTAACACAAAGAATCTGCTGTGGCACTGGGAGTGTCTACAGCAGACAAATAAATCCACCATTATAGGTGGTGAATTGCTTTCTTAAGTCATTAGCTGACCAAAAACAAGTCTTTTTTTTTATTTTCTTCCTGTATTTCAGCCATGCTTGAAATAATTGAAGCCCATTCCATTTTAGTAACAATCAACAGATTTTCAGATTCTCAGACACTTCAACAGCCCTTCTGTTTCACCAGACATAACTGCTTTGTTTTTTATATTGGGGAATTGTACATGCATAATTGAAAGGTGCAACCCCCATGCTATTGGCTATTCTGGCTTCACTAATTTTAGTGACAGTAGCAGATACAGATAAAACAATAACATGAAGCACCAGTGTCTCTAATTTACTAATGAAGTTACAGGATTTGGCTACCAGTGACATCAGAAGATAATATGATAATTCAAGCTTCCCTTCCAAATCCTATATTCATATATTTATTTCTTTTCCCAGTACTGAATGGAAATGGAAATGCTTTATAAACATTGCCCATATTTTTAAAAAGTTCATTTTTCTAGCAAAACATAGCTGATAGTACCTGTTTGTGAGATAACTAGCCTTTTATTGGTAATAAGTGGACTCTGCACCTATGTGTACCATACATGCTAGGAGCTGCTAGCCAATATACACAGGTTCTGCTGCAGGTCTGGGGCATAAGTTCACAGAACTGGTAGTTGTTATTACCTAATAAACACTTGAGTCTCTGTGGACGACATGAAGGCCTCAGCCTAGTTTTTGATACAGGTTTCCATGACTACCTTGAAGGCAAAAATGAAGACGCTTCTTTTACTTTCTCTGCAAAATGTGAAAGGCAATGAAATGGTTTGCAGATGTGCTTGTTGCCTCTTTAGAAGTTGCTTTGAAACTAAGATAAAACAGAAAACATCCATTCTCCACTTGTCAAACCCAGTGAATGCCAGGTTAAAGTAAAACTGGGACTTTAAATATTGGAAAGAGTGTATTCTAAAGGTTACCCCTTTCCCACAGGGTATCTGTGCATCCGTTTAGTCAGGCATCTCCCACCCTTCCATTGTATTTAAATCTTATTTCTGATGTACTACAGTGTCAGAATCCAAGGATAGAATTCAATTTCCACACCACTCTCTGGGCTTCCTGGACTGCGCTGCACACAGGAGTCCAAATGACCAAGAAATAATTTCAAATCCAATGTCTGCTAATGCACCTGTCTGGTTTTCTGTTGCTTCTGTTAATGGAATGACTTTCTTGTTCCAACTCACTGCTCAATGTCACCACATATGTTTGCTGTCCTCCTCAGCTGAGATCTTATCAGTCCCTCATTATTTGATAAACCATCAGAAATACAGTTAAGTAATTAAATTTAGTACCAGAGCAGAGCAAGAGTGACTGATCAAGTAAGGATGGAAGAGAGCAGATCAGTTTAGAGGGTATTTTATGAGTCATTGTTCTCCATTTAGTCAGGGTCGGGATAGAAAAGACAAAAATTTAGAGCATGCTTAATTTTCCTTTTTTATTTTTTAATTGAAAGACTCTCTCATTTCTAAATGCTGATGTCTTGGCAGTATGTTGCAGTCAGTATAAAAATTGACTGCCCCGATCATAAAAGTTCTTTTACATTTGCTTTTGTAATTCTTTTATTTACTTTCTGTCTTTGGTCTGTTTTCTTTTCAGTCTTTTCTCCTTTATTATATTTCCTCACATTCCCTCTGATATTTTAAATGTTTTTCCAATATACCCTTGCTTTATTCTTTCTCTAATTATTTATGTGTCCTGTATACCTGATTTATTATTATCTATTATCCCTTTCTTTTCTTCTCTTCTCTCAAACATTTACTTATCTGTTTAAACATTTCTCCGGTTGTGAAGATGTATGTCAGTTGTGTTTGTGCCCATGGAGGTGATAGGTGGTGGCATGTAGGAAACCAACATCAGACAAGAAGATTTTAAAAGGGGCCTCGGCATTCAAAGGCTTCATTTACACTTGGAAATGAAACAGATGAGAGGCAGTTCTCTGGCTCTGAGACAAACTGGTGTAGCACAGCTCATGCCCATGGGGCTAAGATCTCATACCATCCTAAGCAGAGAGGTTGCACCTAAAATACTGTAGATATTGCAAAGGACATCTGGCAGAGCTTATCTTGGAGGAATTAGGTCTATGGGGTTGCGATACACTGAAGAGGTGTAGCGGTTAACCTTGGTTGGATGCCAGGTGCCCACCAAGCCACTCTATCATTCCCCTTCCTCAGCCGGCCAGGGAAGAGAAAATACAATGAAAGGTTTGTGGGTTGAGAGAAGGACAGATCATTCAACAATTACCATCACAGGCAAAACAGATTTGACTTCGGGAAATTAATTTAATTTATTACCAATCAAATCAAAGTAGCATAATGACAAATTAAAAAAACAACACCTTCCCCCCACCCCTCCCTTCTTCCTGGGCTCAACTCTACTTCTGAATTCTCCACCTCCTCCCCTCCAGCAGCACAGGGGGATGGGGAATGGGGGTTGGGGTCAGTTCATCACACGTTGTCTCTGCCGCTCCTTCCTCCTCAGGGGCAGGACTCCTCACTCGTCCCCTGCTCCAGTGTGGGTCCCTCCCCAGGGCTGCAGTCCTTCAGGCACAGACTGCTCCAGCGTGGGTCCCCCATGGGGTCACAAGTCCTGCCAGAAAACCTGCTCCAGCGTGGGCTCCTCTCTCCACGGGGCCACAGGTCCTGCCAGGAGCCTGCTCCAGCGTGGGCTTCCCATGGGGTCACAGACTCCTTCAGGCATCCCCCTGCTCCGGCGGGGGGTCCTCCACGGCTGCAGGTGGAGATCTGCTCCCCTGTGGACCTCCCTGGGCTGCAGGAGGACAGCCTGCCTTACCATGGTCTTCCCCATGGGCTGCAGGGGAATCTCTGCTCCGGCGCCTGGAGCATCTCCTCCCCTCCTTCTGCACTGACCTGGGGGGCTGCAGGGCTGGTGCTCTCACATGTTCTCACTCCTCTCTCTGGCTGCAGTTTCTGTTGTGAAGGTGTTTTTTCCCCTTCTTGCGTATATTATCCCAGAGACACTACCACCGTCACTGACGGGCTCGGCTTTGGTCAGCGGTGGGTCCGTCTTGGAACCAGCTGGCATCGGCTCTGTGGGACATGGGGGAAGCTTCTAGCAGCTTCTCATAGAAGCCACCCCTATACCCCCACCCCCGCTACCAAAACCTTGCCACACAAACCCAATACAAGGTGATTCATCTCAGGTGAGGGACAACTGGGGAAATAAAACTAACGAATATGAAAGTATATCTCCATACTAAAAAACTGACTGTAGGTACGGCATCAAATGAGACCTCTGTGTCACCAAGGTATCAAAATCTGAGGCAGGAATGTGTTTTAAAAGGTAATGAGGGTTGGATCCAGCCAGAGATTGAGACAGAGAAGTTCTCTTGAATGAAAAACTGTTTGAGGAATCATCATGATTTGGAGCGAGTGGGAATTTTTAAACAGTGGGTTACGGCAGGAGGTGCTAGGATGGAGCTAATGTCAGGTATGCAATTCTGTTGACATCCTCACCACCTGTCTAACTCCTTGGTAGAGACCAAGCAAAGGAAGTCACAGATATACGTGCCACTGTTGTCCATAAAGCCAGTGCTTTCTTATGTCATGGCTGAACCTTTAGGCTGACAGTACACTTCATTCCTTTGCACCTCTATTGCCGAGTTCTCGGAAAGCTATCAGATTATTAACAGCTCTGGTAACGGATTTTGTTATCTGGACAAGTGATCTCTGGGAGTAAATCATCATGTCATATAGTCTCCTAAAAAGCCCCCAGACAGTCGTGCTTTTGAGACACTGCTGAAAATCATGAAGGTCAAATCATGACTTCAGAAATGAAGCAGACAGGTCCTTTTTCTCGTTCAAAATAATCTATTCTACCTTTTCTTTTGGTACAATTTAGGTCTTTGCAGCTACAGAACCTGTTTCGGTAGTTTCTATGATACAAGTTACTGATAATACAGACATATCCTTTGGCTTTAAATTAAGTATCCAAGGCCATCTATAAGAGCTGCAATCCACACAAGTATGGTTGATCTCTAATATGTACAACTCATAGTTCAAGTGTTGCGTTCTCTGTTTTCTGTCCTTTTATTTTTCATTCTCTTAATGTTTTTCATATTTAAAATAATTTTCCTCTTTCATTGCAGAGATCTGAGCCTTGATTTGAAGACCTTAACAAAAAGATCTGCAGACATTGTGTGCTTCAGCCCTAATAATAGCATTAACAAGCAAAACTTGACTAAAGTTCAAAATTAAGAGATAAGATGGCCATCAATCGGAAGATCTGCTTCTTTACTCTCATATTGCTTCCCATGGTAAGGAAAGATGTTTTTATTTACTTATTGTACTTATATAAATACATGTTCTCAAGGCCAGCACTTGCGAAGAGTGAAGGATCTGTTGCTCACGCTGATTCTGGGTTTTTCTGTGTGGCCCCATAGGTTCTGTTAAGACTTTTCAAACCTCCTTTGTGGGTGCAGTAGAACTGTGATCACTGCTCATCCTGTAGAAGGGCAAGTCAATTCCTTGAGAGGATTTGTTCACTGTTTGGATCTGAGATTAAAGAGAAAATAAAATGAAGTAATAATAATTAAAAAAAAAAAAATAGTGGGGCTCCTGTTTCAAATTCATCGGTTTAAGATTATTTTTTCCAGACGGGGGTGATAAAATTAGAGATTCCCATCAGCCCTGTGAAACCTAAGCCTTGAAATGTTTCAGCCAGTGCTTTTGGATGCCTCCATTTTCAGAGGGCCAATTTTAAGAAACCATACAATTCAGCCTCTAAAGATACAAGCACTCAAACTCTTTCACCACTTTTCTGAAGACCTTCAACTCTTTATGAAGATTACAGGGATTTATTTTCACCACAAGTCTTTACTTACTAAGTAACATGCTGTCCCATGAATCGCTCGTTTTTAACATGTCTGGGGATTGTAACTCTATTCCTGCCCATTGTCCCCCTATGCGTTGTGGCTGTATCTAGCGTCACGTAACAGCCATAAGATCACTGAATCAAGCACGCTTTTTCATTTTGTAACTGCCATGAACAATATACAACCCCTACAATAAACTTATCTTGCATTTCAACTCAGTTCTTTGCTAGACCATTGTTCATAGCTGTGCTTTTCATCACTTCTCAAGAAGCATTGCACAGAGGGATACTGTGACAAATAGCACCAGTATTTCAATCCTCTATCCCATTCTCATTAATAGCCTTCTATAACTTCCATGCAAATGCTTTAAAATTGCTTAATATACAGATATTCTCATGTTACTGCATTTTAATACCTAGGTATTTTAAAGCATTCTTGACATATATTTTGTTTTCATTTTTAAATAAGAACTATTTAATATGGTATGATGTAACCAGAGTATCTTTTAGCAGTTTGTACAGAGTTTCTTGCTCGTCTGTATTGATTGTGTGACCTGTCTTTTACGATGCATAACGGACAGCATACAGGTCTTTATCTTGGCACACAAAAATACACATTCTTTCCTCTTAGGTCTTATTTAGAGACCACTTGAATTAACTGCATAACTGAAATGTAGCATTATTCAGCTATATTCTGTAGAATAGGATTGGAACTGGTAGTATACTTCCATTCATCCAAATGGTATAGCACCTTGCCATACAAATATCTGGTCTTTGAATTTCTTTCTAGCACATGACTTCTCTGACTATTGCCTAGCTTTCTTGGTCAGGTAGAAAGTATTATTAACAAAGTGAGCATGTTTAATTTTTATATTGTATCTCTCAAATAATTATACTAGACTTCCTCTAAGCTAATGGGGAGGGGAAAAAAACCCCAACATTTAACCTGTTTTAGGTGCTTATGTGTTAGTATGAGATTCCCACCTTCTTGACTATAAAAGGAGGTTAGCTCAAATTCAGATGTTGGTTTTTTGGACATACGTTAGGTTACATAAACACACCCTGTTGCTTCTGGTTTGAGACCCAGAAATGACAACTGTCATGTCTCAGTCTCTTAGGAGCTCCCATCTTACAGCTAAGCCTAGGACAGCCTCAATGGTTCCTCATCTCTAAGTGTTGGCATCCTACACCGGCTGAAAGTAGATTGGTAGAGCTGCTGAATTCCCGGGTAGGCAAGCATTTTTTTCAGCCTGGAACAAAATTAATTAAATGGTCATATGAATGGAAAGGCAAAGGACATTTTTCTAAATGACCAGTGATCTTCAACGTTTCAAGATTTTTGGTTTCAGCTTGAGACAGCCAAAAGGTGTCTTCTTATTTAGAGGTGAACAATTTTTAATTAAGGGAAATAAATGTGACTGAACATATCTCTTGAGCTTTCAGATGGATGACCTTCCTGGCAAATGTAGAAGGACAGCAAGTTTCCAATTCCTAACATTTCAGGACATAACTGTGATCGCTGAGCTGGATAATTAGTGATCAGCTCCAGCTTTTGGAAAGAACAGCTCTCTAATGAAATACTATGAAGCAAACCAGAGCTAATAGGAACAAATATGCTTTTATATATGCTGTTTCTGCAATGTTTATCACCTTGTGTATCACTGCAAGGTTTTATTACAGTCTCTTGCAGGAACCCAGGTACTAAAGTTAATGATTTTATGCACATGAACTTGTGTATTTGCACACACACTTTGTTGGTCAGCGAAGAGACTTATGCTTATGGCAGCCATTGTACCATAATTTGCGTATAGATTCATTCCTTATTACATCTCTAAGCTTCTTTTCACAGACTGAGGTTCAGGAATGATGTAATGTTATTTATGGTTCTTCCCTTGCTGGGACTCCTTTGCAACACTTGTGGTAGCATGTTTTCTCTCCACTGGAACACACACTTTCTCTTCAAACCACCTCTAATGTGCTGTGCTGATGTCCTCAAATTGGTACTTTTCTGTCATGCAGATTCTCAGATTTTCTACCGAGGGAGTGGATGTGACTTTTAAAAAATGTGGAGTAAATTTGAATGTCATCCTAGCCTCCAAGAAGTTCTGGAAAAAATTTTAACATTGCTTTTCTCTAAACATATCTGGTAGTGTTCAAGAAGTCTCCCGTTACTCTCAAGGAGAGCTCCTGTTTGCAGCAGTTGGGATTGATCCCCATTTTGTGGCACATGTCTCCATCCCTCGCAGTCAGCATGGCTGCATTAGCTCCTGAATCTGTGCACCTGCTTGGATGTGCAGATTTTGGCTTCGGTAATAGCCAGACCGATTCTACCCACAGAACACCAAAGTGCTCGGACTAATGTCCGCATTCATAAACAGGTTGAGAAAAGGTAAAAAAGAGGACAGAGTGTATTAACGGAAAGTTCTAGGTGGCCTCAAGTAAGGACTCACACCAGACAACAAGAAAATAATATGCTAATAAATAATTAGAAATGGGCATGTTAAGCCAATTCTAATTGTCAGAGACTGGTGTGGTTAGATTTTTTCATGTGTTTAACAGGCTATTCTGTATTTGCCTATCACAAAGGTATTCCACCTTCTTATTAATCACTTGGGACTGAAGACAGGATCTAGAAACATGATACCTGCTAGGCTTTTTAGAGGAATTATTAAGCTTTATTTTTGTCCCCATTTTAAATGCTTTCCTAGCTTTAAATATCTATGTTGCTATTTTAGCTGTTTTTAATCCTTTTTTTGTTAGCTAGCCTGCTTCTTTTCACTCACTGTCATTCATTTCTCTGTTTTGTCTGAACACCTTTTCATTTGCACATCAGTTTTCTTCATCCTACCTAGCTTTTGCTCCTGAATTCACTTTCACTGCCATTTTGATTTCTCATTCCATTAATCTATGATAGCAGTGGGCTTGGTTTTTTATTGGAAATATTAGCAAAAGTCATCATAACATTATTGAGGAGATAGGGTCCTAAACCATCGTTCCTTTGTCTGGTTCCAAATGTACTTGAGAAACAATGAAATTCATGACTCACAAACTTGGCTTAGTATATGAACTGAATTTTAAATGTAACTGCAATGCAGGTGTTCTAACAGTCTGTAATAATTCAAATGGATGTATTTCTTCAGCTAATACTTGGAATGTCTTGTGGATGCATTTTTAATATTGGTAAGCGTAAATGTTTTAAATGATAAGATATTCTTCATAGTATTTCATTAACTGGAAAACATATGTTCACTGACTTCCTTTAAAATAAAAAAAAAAAAAAAAGAGAGATGAAAAAGAAAGGTGCAAGTTATGACTCTTGTACACCAACATTGAAGTGTGATCGCTTTATGACCGTCGGTCAGATGGGCAAATACATATTTGGATGTGCAGACAGTATCTCACAGATCAGAGAATGAAACCTCAGTCTGATTATGTTTAAGCAATTCATTAAGAGGTGAGGAGAGAAACTAGACCTCTTTGCTCAGACCCTGTTTACTGAAGGGGGTAATGTTTCTCAGTCTTCTAAGGGTGTGTATAGCCTACAGAGCAGAGAGCTTTCTGTATCCTCCATCATTCTTCTGTAGCTATCACTTCCAGTGCCAGGCTATGTTCAAATAGGATCATCTACATTTCAGTCTCTGTCATTTTTTATAGATGAGTGACAGACACTCTATACAGGCACACTATTCTACTAGTTTCTCTCCAATCCTGCTATGTTTGCTAGAGCATCCATTTTCTGCTGCAGCCCAAATGTGAGCTTCCTCAGGCACAAACATAGGTGGTTGTGTTGGTCCCTGCTCTTTAAGCAACCTATTTTTTCCATGCAGGACTTAATGAGACAGCTTTTCTTGAATTTATCTGCCTTATGATTTGTAACATCTCATAATCCTATTAGAGAAGTCGTCTGTAGGATTGCAACCGTCTCTAACATAATGCACAGTTAAATGGGACTTCCCTGTTACTTATGTAATGCAAATACAAGTGTGTACAAATATAGCTAGGGAACTGCTGGGAATGTTCTCCAGAGGAGAAAAACTCAGCTAGCCAAGATGTTACTGCTGCTATAATATAATACTGCTTCCTTTTTAAGGTGATGGTGCTGTGGGCAATCAGCAGAATATAACAACCTCGTAAAAGCCTATGCCTTGTTTAAAAAAGAAAAAAAAGTCTCAGGATATATGATAATGGGTAAGGTAGTCTCAAAGAGAAGGTTCAGAATTTCTGGTAAGGTGTATCACAAAAAGCATCTGAGAAAATCGGTGTTGCAAAACAGTGAGAGTGCCCTTGATACCAACGAACTTCAAGCACCTTCCCTAAAAACTAGGATCCTAGGTTCCTGATGATCCTTCACCTCTCAGTTATGTGCGATAGGTGCTTACAGAGAGTGACAGTGATAGATATCTCAGGGTGATACCTCCACCTGGGATATCTATAAGTTCCTGC